GCCACCGTCACGTGCAGCCCGCCGGCCTTGGGCGTCGCACCGGAGGTGACGCAGCAGCAGCAGCAGCAGCAGCATCGTCAGCAGCAGCAGGAGGGAAACACCATCTCCCTGCGTCAGCCCAGTTTGTCCTCAACGGCGCCTTCCCCCGCTGCATCCTCCCACTCCTCCCCGCTCTGCGCTGCAACAACACCTGTCCCACAGCTGCAGCAGCAGCAGCAGCAGCAGCACTCTACTCCCCCGCCACCTCCGGTGGTCGTGAAGACCGAATTCAGTTTGAGCTCCAGTTGCAGCAGCACCAGCAGCGGATTAGCATCTTCCTCCACAGCCGGGGCTGAGGCTCTGTTCTCGGCCAACACCGAGCCCCTGGTGGACGTGTCTGACATCATTGACTCCCTCCTGGGCTGCGACGCAGGACAGAGCGATCTGAAAACCGCCGTGGAGGTGAAGCAGGAGCCGCTGGGTCTGGAGGAGTGGCTGAAGAGTCTGACGGTGGCTCCGGTGCTCACCGGCGGAGATCCCGGCAGCTACGTCATCAGCAGACCTGTCATCAAGACCGAGTTGTCTGAAGGTGGCAGTGAGCGCCTACACTTCTGCTCCTCCTCCTCTTCATCCTCCTCCTCCTCTTCTTCGTCCTCTTCCACCACCCTGGACGCCCACCTGCTCTCCTCACTCCTGCAAGGCACTCTCCCGCTCGTCAGCGTCCCTCCAAAAACTACGACTGCGCCCCCACGCGGCGGCAGGAGGAACAATGGCAGCAGCAGGGGCGCTCCAAGAGCCAAGCCTTTCCCATGCTCAGTGCAGGGGTGTGAGCGCCGCTTCTCTCGCTCTGATGAGCTGAACCGTCATGTGCGCATCCACACGGGCCAAAAACCGTTCCAGTGTGCGGTGTGTGCACGCAGCTTCAGCCGCAGCGACCACCTGACCACACACACCCGCACACACACGGGGGAGAAGCCTTTCTCCTGTGACGTGTGTGGAAAGAGGTTTGCACGCAGTGACGAGAGGAAGAGACACGGACGCGTGCACATCAAGCAGCAGCTGCGTGCACAGATGATGGCTGCCTACTCACTGGCCCTGAATGGCCCTGGAGTCTAGAAACTAAATAACTTTTCTCATCAAAACGTTTGGCTTTTGAAGCATCAGGTGACAACGTTTTATCATGACGTCTCATTGAGAGCGATTGAGGCCCAGGACTGGAGTTCTTTGGACTTTGGTTCCACAGACGGCCAGGTTCTTTCCAGGAAGACAAAGTTGGGTCACAAAGACTTCTGCAGGGTGACTGCACCCTCAGACGCGACCCCCCTGTGTGGGCTCTGACCTGTTACATGTTGGACTTTGAAGGTGGAGTCCGGCTCGAAGACTGTAAAATATTTTTGCTGCATGAGGACGTGACGAGTTGGATGTTGTGATCCAGATGTTTGTACGTTTCTATTCTCAGAGCTAAAGATGTTTGTTTGTTTGTTTCTTAAATTCTCTATTTTTCTAGCCCAGGTTGATCACTGCTGTTGTTGTTCCGCTGATGTTCTCAGAGTGTGTATATTTGTACTGGAAACTTTTGTGGCTATTTTTATGAATGTAAAAGATGCTTTATCTGGTTTCACTGCTCCCTGTTATGCATGGAGGCCAATGCTGCCAATAAACAAACCAAGAAAACACAAAATAATTGTATTTCTTTCACTGTCATCTTCATCTACTGACTAAAGATGAAAATATGAAACATTTGGACAAGACCATTTCTACAATTTAGCCCAGAAGAATCATAACTATTTTTAATACATTAATAATTTAAAGCTAGCTGATAAAAGTAGGCCCAGAATACACTACACTATCGCTCATTTAGTAATACATTCACTATAAGTAATACATGTAAGAAACAAAAAGAATACCAAAAAGTTTAGAATTTAGCCCAAACTTTTACAAGGTTAGCTAAGAAGATAGTTTTCCCCTGGTTATCCCAGAAATAGATGATAGCTATCCAAAAGAGAAAATAAAACTATTTTAAAACAGAAATTACAATTACTTGGGTAAACACAACTTTGTTACATGGTTTTAGACAAAACATGCATAACAACTGCTGATGTCTAGTCAAATGTTCATATATCTTACACCTAATATTATTCAAATAATAATTCGTAAAATCGAGGCCAGAGTTGTTTAAATTAAACAAAAACATTAAAAAAGCCCAAAAAATAACAAATATAATCTAAGCAGAATATCTCACGTTTTCCAGAATCTTAGTATATTGGCTACTTAGCCAAAATAGTTTGAAATAGCTTAAAGGTTTTATTGATATTATTTTCAGACAGAATATAAACCTGATTACAAACACTTTGAGTGAGACATCTTCTGCATGTACGATCTTTATAGTAAATTTCGACGACCCACAATGCATTGCATCCCCTCGTATTGCCTCTGGTCATTATCAGTCAGTATCTGCTGCTGCTGCTCCTCCTCCTGTTCCTCCTCGTTTTGACCGGTGTACTGGACAAATTGATCCAGGTGAAAGAGATACGAAGGCCGGCGAAACGAAGAGAGTCGCCGTTGGCGAATGCTGCCTACGGTGCAGAGCTCCGCCAGGAGAAAGAGGAGAAAAAAGCGGATGAGAAGCGAAGGAAGCTGGGAAGAGGACTAGCGCTGTGGTATGCTAATGGCGTCGCAATGCTAACAGGCTAAATGCAGATCTTCGTTTGTTTCTTATTCTAGTGCGTTAATGTAACCATAACCAATGTTATCAATTTACTGTGAAGATGACCGACTATACACACTTAAAACCACATTTTATTTGTCCGCACCGGTGCTAAAGCTTTAGCATGTTCTGTAACAATAGATTGCTAAGCGTCAAAGTGACAATGTTTTCGTTTCCTGTTCGTGTTTTGGGGGTTCTTGTTAATGCAGACTTTCATTTTGGGGGTTCTTGTTAATGCAGACTTAGCGTTGCTAACTTTCAGCTTTACTTCGTTCTCTGGTGTCATGATTATTGGTGAAACGACAGCTTTGACGTCCTACCAACCAAGGAGCAATTGGCTAAAGTCACACACGAAAGCTCACTCCAGCTAACTTGATTGTTAATAATGCTAAAGAAAATAAGCCATAAAATACAAAATCATCGTAAACGTTGACATATATAAAGTCTAAAATAAGTTTGATTTAGACCTTATTTAGTTGAACAGCTCAAAGATATTAAAAATAGCTCCGTTATCCAGACAACAGTGTTCAAAGTTAGCCGGACAGACAGGCCAAATTCAAATTAGCACTGAAGATGTCACAGTCATCCTAACCCCTGGAAAGATAAGGTTAAACATTATTGAATCACGTTTGATTAAACTGATGTTAACCAACACTGTGACAACTGTGTGTAATAATGATATACAAATTTAAATGTAAATATTAACCCAATAATGTAGAACCACATTTTTAGACAAATATTATAACATTTCCTGCTAGAGAATTTGAGAGTTATTTGGCTAATGGTGAGTTTAACTATGCTGGAATTTCTGCTCAAGTAATGGCGCAGACACGGATGAAACTGCGGGTGCGACGCCGGGACGTGGCAACAGGAGGTGAAGAGTCGACGCCGGCTGAAGAGCAGCGCCGTGAGATCGGCACTCGCTCAAGCAGTCGCCGGAAAAAACCCAACAGCAACGCTGCAGCCTCCTCCACCTCGCCCCCCTCAACCTCCACCTCCTCTTCTTCAACCAGGACTGCAATGGTTGTGGCAGCTGAGGACACGTCCCCTGACTCCAAGTGTCCCATCTGTCTGGACCGCTTCAACAACCTGGCCTACCTGGATCGCTGCCTTCACCGCTTCTGCTTCCCCTGCATCCAAGAGTGGTCCCACAACAAGGCCGAGTGTCCGCTCTGCAAGCAGCCCTTTGCCTCAATCCTGCACTCAGTGCGGGCTCAAGACGACTTCAAAGAGTACACGCTGCAACCAGCGCCTGCAGCCAGTGGGGGCAACAGCAGTACGGCCGCTGCAGCTGCTACTGCTGCTGTCGTGGCTGCAGTCGCTGCTGCTGCTGCCAGAAATGAACATCAGATGAGGCTGATGCTGCGGAGAAGACGTAGAACGGCTGCAGACACAGGAGGAGACAATACTGCCAGGAGGTAGTTTTCAAACATTTGTTGATACCCTTTATCTCAGCAGTAAACTATAGTTCTCCTTTGACTTCTTGTGACCTTTTCTTTTCCTGGAGCCTACTTTATAAGCGTTCATTTTGACTAGCTAACTAGTTAAAATATCTTTGGGCAAGAAAGAACTCTGATACCACATTTACCTTTTTTTCATTTTGGTGTATTTTAGTTCCTTTTTAGTTTTTATTTAACATGGAATATTTTGTCGTCCATCCAATAGTTACCTCCATGGAGAGACACCTGTGAGGAGGTGGAGGAGGGAGCGAAGCGGCAGAGCAGGAGGGGGAGCCGGTGGGAGCAGCAGCAGTGAGTATGGCACGGCCTGGGAGTGGCACTTTGATGGGCCTCCCCCTGCTTCATTTTCTCCCCTCCATTATCCTCCACAACCTCCACCTGCCCTTTCTTCTGGGGTGAGACAGGACGGAGGTGGAGAGGATGAGCAAGAGCGCCAGAGAACGGGGGCAGTGGCCGATGCTGAGGGCCACAGCACAGGCCTGAGCTCGCCACCAAAAAACCTTGTGAGTTATGAGCGTGTGTCGCAGCGTCTGATGCGGTGCCTTTTGGCAAGGCGGCACTCACAGCAGGCTGGAACACTGCAGACACTCTCTGAAAGAGAAACTCTGAGGCTACGCCGTGCACTTTACTACTGTGGTGTCCGAGTGCATGGTGTCGCTGGCATCAGCGGCCCTGAAGATGCTCCACGAGAAATCACAGCCGACAGCTTCCACCGCCACCGATCTAACATGAACAGATTGGTGCCGTGGCTGCGTCGCGAGCTTACAGTACTGTACGGCACCCAAGCCCACCTGGTGGACCTGGTCCTGGGCATCATCGCCGTCCAGGTGAGAAGTTCTTTAATATATGTGATAGATGTGTGCTGTAGTAACGTGTTGTTATGTTGTGTGTTATTGCCAATATTGTCATATGAGTGATCTGTGTTTCTGCTGTTTACTCCATTTTCCTGGGTACCTTGAACACACCGTAATGTAGCACACTAGAGACATTTCTGTTCTGTTGTTTGGAGTTGGCTGGGATTGTGCCGTTAGCGTGCTCTGCTCTGAGTGGTTGGTAGGTTTTGGCGTGCACTGTGGCTAACAACGGCGTCTGTTGAATCTGCCGACATAAACCACTTTCTCATGACAACAGTCAGCTGCCTTTGAAACCATTTTTGGCTCCAGTTCTATATATGCATATAATAAACAAAAACTGTGTCAAACAGCAGTGCGATCTAAACCACAATAATATGGTTAGTATATATTCAACTTAAACATCTCTCAAAAGCATTTACATCACCGAGCCAAATGAGGGCAATAATGGTTTTATTTCAATGTATCTATTTGAAGCCAAAATTGTGATTAAAATGCAATAATGGTTTTATTTCAATGTATCTTATTTTATTTGAAGCCAAAATTGTGATTAAAACTCAACTAATCACCCAGCCCTTTTAGCTAGTTTGGGCACGTTTTCAGCTCATTTCAGCTTGAACGTTTGAAGTAACTCGTAGTTTTGTCTTTGTCGTACAGGTCTCACGGCATGGGCTGGAGAACCTGGCAGCCCTGGAGGCAGAGCTTCGGCCATTCTTGCTGATTCGCACAAACCACTTTGTCCACGAGCTGCTCAGCTTTGCACGCTCACCGCTCACGATGGAGCTGTATGACATGCTAGCTACCTACGAGCCGCCAACAGTTGCCACCGCTGCCATTGCAGCTTCAGAGACGGACAGACTAAGCAGCCCCTCTGGTGGAAGCTCCGTCATTGCCATATCTGAAGATGAGGAGGAGAGTGGAGGGGGAAGGAGCGCTGTTGATGATGTGGTCCAAACAGGAAGCCTCAATCTGTCTCTGTGGGACGATGAAACACCCGGGCCATCCTACTCCACCGCTGAGACGTTAAGTTCTCTCAACACGCTGCAGCAGGAGTCAACCAATCAGGAGACAGGGCAACAGGAGGAAGACGAGGAGGAGGAGTGTCTGATAGTTGGATACAAGAAGCCTATCGCAGAGCGAACTCCTGAGCTGGTCCAGCTCTCCTCTGACACAGAAGAAGAAAATACAGACAACAAAACCAAGGAAGAGGAGTCAACAGAGAAGGGTCTGTCTCTGCCCTCCATCACCTCCACTACTGCAGACCCTCCTTCCTCTTTCCTACCCACAATCCCTCCCTCTACATCTGGAACCTACAAAGAGGGGCAGGCCACAGAAGATGCTGACACCTCCCGCCCACGTTCACGTTCCTGGTCGGCAAGTTCTGGCAAGAGTAGAGACTCTGTGTGTGTGCTCACACCGAGCAAAGACAAGGGGAGGAGGCAGAGAAGGAGCAGGAGCAGGCAGAAGAGGAGCGGGACCCTCAGTAATCCAAACCGCTCTATTTATCCTGCTCTGATGAGCCACCGTCGCTGCCACAGCCCCTCGTCTGTCCACTCCAGCATGGATTCAGGTTCACCATTGTCCCCGTCCAGCCCATTGGACCTAAGTTGGTCTTTCGCTTGC